CAAAGGGTCATAAACTCTGGTTTTTTTCTGAGTTTCAGCCAAAGCTCTCTGTTTGGCCAGACTGGTTGTGATGGTTTTAGTCTAGGTCTTCCTGGTAACCAGCTTGTAATCAAGGAAGTGGCCATGTACCCAGTATTCCATAGGATTTTTACATAAACCAGGGTATAAATAAGATGAAGATTAGAGACCTCCCTCTTCTTTCTTCCTGTGGTTGAGGACAACAGATCTCTCTGCAGACGGTCTTTGCTTGTGTGGGCCAAGGCCTGTCTACTCGGACCTGCCGTGATCTCCGACCCTCCGGGAGGCGTGGGAAGTTGGTTGGTGCTTTGTATACTTTTGCTGTCTAATTCAGGGAAGTATTTAATTCATTTTTTTCCTGTTTATTCGCCAGCTCCCTACTAACGGTGTGTATTTGGAGGTTACTTGTTTTAGTTTTTGTCCCTGTTTCCCCTCCCTTTTCCCTTGGGAACTCCCTATTGCATGTACAAATTATATATATAATTGTAAATATATGTCAATATATATTTATGATATAATCCAGTTTTGTCCAGGCTTCTTTCGGGTTTTTGGTGGTTGTTTTTTTTTCCCCTTGCTTGAACGAGCGGGAGAGGGGGAGGGGGCAATTTGACCTTGGGAAGAAAAGCCGGCCAAACCAATACACTGGTCTTCTTCCCCACCAGTTCGTCTTTTGGCACATAGGGACAGACCACTCCTGCACCTTTAAGATTTCCTTCTTGAAGAATGTCCGGCCTTTCTGGACTCCTTTGCCCTTCGGGATTGCCTTCCAAGAGGCTCTGTCAATCAGGCCCCTAAACAGGCCAAAGTCTGCCCTCTGAAACTCCAAGGTGGCAGTTCTGCTGACCCCAATCCTTACTTCTCCAAGAATCAAAAGCTCCATCATTTTATGATTGCTATGCCCAAGACAACCTCCAACCATCACATCACCTTCTCTGTTAGCAAACAACAGGTCCAGCAAGGTGCCTTCCTGTGTCAGGAAGTCATGGGAAAAACTAATTATTGAATCCAATAGTAATATTTTGTTTATTTCTTTTCTTATCTACCCTCTTTGCCAGCCTGGAAACAGGAAGTATGGCCCAGAACAGTTCCTGACTAACATGCAGAGTTCACAGGACAGGGCCATGGCAGAGTTTCACAATTATCACTCAGTCTCCAGAAATAACCTGTTGAGGTGCTTCTGGCATGAATTTGGGCAGAAATATGTACGTGTAGTAGCAGCATTAATCCAAGTTCAAGGCTCTTCGTTCATTTTCAGGTAGACAATACTTTCACTTGTTTTTCTCCAATTTCAGTCAAAATTGACACACACATCACCAAAGGTTCAAGTTTTAGTACACTGATATATTGAGATCTATTTAATCAGGAAAATATCAATTTATCTTGAATTCCAACTCCACTGTTACTTTGGTCTCCTTTACCAGCATTGATATTTCATTTCAAATAGACAATGATTATCTGAGATAGGGCATAAAAATTGTTCAAAGTGGCTAGATGAAAATTTAAAATTAAAAATTCCTGTTCTTTCCATAACATTCCTGTTGCATGACATACCCCGAAAGCATACCGAGAGTCTGTATGGTCGTTTCCCTCTTCCCAGATGTGCTGCATGCATCAAAGCTACTAGTTCTGCTCCTTGTGCCCTCATACTTGCTAGGAGTGGTTCTGTTTCTATTACCTGTCCCTGACTCACCCCAGTACAGCCAGACCGTTGCTGTCTTGCAGGTAGCAGGTGTCCCAAATGAGTGTTTTAGGTCACTCAAAGGATCACCGGCAAAGGCATCAGTAACAGCAGATTTAATATTAAAGTGAAAGCATGATGTCATGGGTTCACCAGTTCCCATCGGGGCTGAAAATAGATTTTCCAGGTGAATTTCTGGAGCAAAACCAATCAAAAGTTTTAGTAATGCCTCTGCCAATTACATATTTAAGAAAACGGAAGAGAAGGTTGTTGTGCAGAAACAAAATGGGAGAGCCAGCGTAGCAGCTGGCCATGTTGGGCCCAGGCGTCTGCCCCCCACACTGGGCCAAGTCTGGCCCGGGTGAGGGGGGGCCAGGCCCCCTTCTCTCCTGTAACAGAGTAGAGAAAAAAAACTTTAGAGAAGAACCTGGATGAGACATGCTGCAGAAGGAATTCTGGCACAGAGATAGTGCAGCCTCCAAGGTCAAAGATGGCAGCCAGAGGAGAGAGAAGAGAAACCCGAAGGCAGGGCTCCTTCGCTTTGCCCCTCTCTCTTTCTCTCCCTTCAGCAGGGAAAAGACTGAAAAATAAAAAAACACCCTGCCATCTGCAGAAGATTGTTGGGGAGTGAAGACCCTCCTCAGCAGCTCATGAAGGAACCCATGCCAAAGCAGAGGAGTACATGAAGAAGATGTGACTCTGTGGGAGGCCTAAGATGAAACAGAGTCCTGTTGGAGACCTGTGGCCCACGGAGAGAGAGACCTACACTGGAGCAAGTTGGCTCGGGTAGGATCTTGTGATCCCAGTGAGGGATCCATGGTGGTGCAGCTGAATTTGTGACCTTAAGGGACAGCAGAGAATGGAAGAACTGTTGCCCGAAGGTAGACTAACACTAGAGAGGTCCGTCAAAGACTGTGTCTCATGAGGAGGGACCCCACAAGAAACAGGGGTGGACTCAAAACCCATTGTACTGTGGGAAGACCATGGTAAGGCAAGTGTCCCCTTGCAGTCCATGGAGGACCTCACAAGGCCTGGGTAACCCCCAGCCTCCGGTCTTAGCCCAGGGGGTGGTAGGCCCAGCCTTGAGGTCAACATAGAAGAGAGAGAGAAAGAGAAACAGTCCCAGCTGCAACGAATCTGAAGTGTCGCCCTAGAGATAATAGAAGAGCAACTTTCAAGTGCTGCAAAATTATTTGGAAGACCTGTAGCTCTGGAAATGGAACAGAGACAGCTCCTCCTCCTAAACTGATACAAGGGGGGAGGGGTACTTCTGTAAATACATAGCACTTTTGCCTACTTAGAATTGTTGTGTATATAGTTCTTTAGTTTTTATCTTGCTAGTAATAAATCCTAATATTATTCTCCCCACATCAAATCTCTTTTGTCTGCATAAACCTTCTCTCAACTTATAGCAATTGTGTGGGGGGTGAGAGAAAATTGACCCAAAGTAAACCCACGACACATATGTCGTGGTTTTGCTCTGGGTCAATTTGCTTTCACACCCCCCACACAATTACTATTAGTTGAGAGAAGGTTTATGCAGACAAAAGAGACTGGATTTGGGAAAATAATATGAACATTTATTACTAGCAAAATAAAAACTACTAAAGAATTACATCTATAATAATTTTACTTAAGTAAAAGTACTATGTATTTACAGAAAATACTTCTTCCCCCTTTTTATCAGTCCAAGGAGGAAAAGTAGTTTCTTTCTCCATTCTCGGAGTTCCAAGTCTTTTCAATAACTCTGCAGCACTCTTGTCACAGCTGGAACTCTTTCATCTCCCTTTGTCAGCTCCAAGACTGGACCTACCCCCCTCCTGGGCTAAAACCAGAGGCTGGGGGTTACCCAGGCCCTGAAGGTTTTTTCTTCCATGGTCTTTCAAGAGGACACTTGCTTACCATGGATCTTCTTCCACGGGGTTACAGGGGATAATGGTTTATGAATCCACCCCTGTTTCCCTGTGGAGGTCCCTCTCCATGGGAGAACAGTCCTTGATAGACCTCTCTGGCATGGGTCTAGCATGGATCCCACACATGGATCCCAACATCCCTACCCGAGCCGTCTCGCTCCAGCATAGGTTTTCCTCAGGGTCACAAATCTCCAGTACTAACAGCATGGATCTCTCACTGAGATCCCAAGCTTACCCGAGCCGTTTTTTGCTCTGGCGTAAGCCTCAGGGTCATAAATCTTCAACAGGACTCTGCCTCATTTCAGTCCCTCTCATGAAGTCTCGACTTCCTGGTACATCCACAAGCTCCTCTGTGAGTAGCATGAGGGTCTCCTCATTCCAACAAACTTCTACAGGTGGTAGGGATTATTTTTCAGTCTTTTCCCTGCTGAAGGGAGAGAACGAAAGAGGGAAGAAGCAGCCCCCCCTCCTTCGAACTTTCCTTCTCTCTCCTGCTGCAGTTCTGGCCTTGAACATTTTGTTATCTCTTTGTCAGAATTCTTTTGCAGCAGTTTCTGTCCAAGTAGTCAGTCCTTCTCTAAAGTTTTATTTTCTTCACTCTCTTACAAGAGAGAAGGGGGGTTTCAGTGCTGCACCTGCCCCCGGCCCAGGGTCAGGGGAGGAGGGAGGCCTTGACCCACTCGGGGCCCGTCGCCTCTCCTACATGGTTGCCGTTCCTAATTTCAACTGCACAATCACCCTTCTTTTCCCTTTTCTTAAATATGTAATTAGCAAAGGCGCCACTAAGAGTTTTGATTGGTCTTTTTGTCCGGAAATCCACCTGGACAAAACCATCTTCAGCCCTAGGGGCTGGCCGGTTGGGCAAAACCACGACACACATGACAAAGTTCATTGGCAAAGGTTCACTCTGCTACTTACTAGATGGTTAAAGTACACAGAGAATAATCTGACTTAAATATAAAATCAATCAATCTAAAACTAAAATCAACCAAAAATGATCTACATGGAGGCTGGGGACAAAAAAAGGGTAAGTATAGGAAAGGGTAAGGATAAAAAGTAATAAGGGAAACACTCCTGTTGAGTCACAAGGTTCAGAGTGGACCCCCTTGCTAAACTTAGCCCTAGACTTGACCAATGGTTTAGGTCGAAAGGTTTTAACAATACTTAACATCGCTTAATAGGTAGCCTAATTTAAACAATTTAACAAAAGACTCTATAGAATTTACTATAAACACAACAGTAATTCACCTATAGGCCTACCTTACTTATTAATCTAATGCACTTAAGAATCTAAGAGAGCAACATTCATAGTACATTTGCTGTAGCTTATTCACATTAGCACTCCCACAGACATAAAGAAGTATGTACAAGGTATATACCTGTGAAAAATTTGAAGCCACTCACTTAAAACTTTGAAACATAAAAGGTTAACACAAAATTGTAAGAGAAATTTCAAAACCTTAACATTAGGAAACTAGGCAGTCCTTGACATAGCAACTCAGCGAATCCTAGAGCAGTCCTAGAGAGATAGCTGCATTCCTCACAGAGATAGCAACTCAGCAAATCGTAGGATGAGCCAAAAGTCAGCCTGACCTTATTGTGTTTGCCAAAACTGCCTTAAAAGGAGAAGATCGAAAGAAAGTTCAGAAGTTTACAGTGAGGAAGACTCACACACGACCCCCGCCCAGAGGAAGGCAACAGGAACTCCCACCGTGAAATCTCCCCAAATTGAAGACTCCGCCCAGACTCCGCCTTCATATGAATATTACAATTAGATGTTGCAATTTAATGAATATGCATGATTATGTTGTAATCCTATATTCAAAAACTGTATAAAAGAGCTATGCTGATTGTACACGACGGAGCTCTTTGCCCAGGGCGACCTGGAGAGCTACCCCAACGCGTTGTAATAAAATACCTCCTGCTTTAAAGAAACAAACTCTGTCTCTAAAGCAGTCTCTCTGTGCCTTTTGGGGCAAAATTTCGGCATCATTTTTGGCGAAGCCAGGCAGGAGGTTTTAGTCCTCCTGAGCCGGGGCCTGGGGGTCTAGGGACTCTCTGGGCCCTGCCGGCGGATTTTTGTCGGTAGAGACTCCTCAGACCCCTCGGACCTACGTGCGACGGCGGACAAGAACTCCTGCTTTAAATTAAGAGGTATTTTGCTTTATATGTTATTGTGTTTTGCTTTATATGTTATTGTATTTTGCTTTATATGTTTTCGGAATAGAAAGCGCTCTATTGAAACGGGGGTAAGACGTTACCCCCAGGGGAACGCTGAGGGGACGCCCCAGCATATAATCCCCTACGGGTTAGAGTCCCGGCCTGGAATTGGCCACCCCCAGGTATTGTGGGTTAGAGTCCCAAAAAAAATCGGGTTAGAGTCCCGGCCTCGGGGTGGGCTTCCAGGTAATCGTGGGTTAGAGTCCCACCGGAGCGGATAAGTTTGCCGGCAAAAGTTGTCTGTTGTATCGCTTGTCTGTCGTATCGCTTGTCTGTTGTAGTGTTTTAACTAATCTGGGATTATTTCCAAAACTCTGGGAGAGTTTCGACAAATTCTGGGAGAGGTGCCAATCTCTGGGAACGGTTCCAATAACTTCTCTCAAGAAAAACTTAATTGTATGAAATATGAGTTTTGCTTATTTTCTTAAATTCTGCTTATTTTATGTACTGTTTAATGGACTGCGCGTCTAAATCTTAGGATAAAAATCTGGTCTTTCTGTAATTGTTTATTCTATAGTGTAACAGTACATGTAAGCCTAAAGAGAATACAAGGAATTGTACTCGATTAAGATGAGACAGGGATCAAATACTTTATAAACGATATATCTTTTAGCTTGCAACAGACTGAATATCGGGCAGCAGTATTTTCCGGTTTGCAAGCGACACCTCGCGACTTTATTTGGTAAAGCAATAAGCTAAGAGGTAAGAACAAAAGTGTACAGGCGTGAATGCGTGTGAATGAGACGTGCAAATAAGCACGAAGTGAGTGCGGAGTCCTAATCTGCGGTTCCTGTTCTTCGCGAGAAGCCAGGCCAGAGACGGACGAAGCGATTGAAAATTGTGTGCATAAAGTGTAAAAATCTGGTGAGATATAGAGGTATAGATCCAGAAAATAATAATGGGAAGCCAACAAAGTAAAGATATAAATATGAAAACCCCCTTAGGATGTGTCTTGAAGCATTGGAAAGAATTAGGGGGAATTCCAGGGGGAAACATAAGTAAAAAGACACTTTTAAAATACTGTACACAGTGGTGGCCTCTATATAAGTTGGATGATGATGAAAAATGGCCTCCGGAGGGAACAATTAATTATAACACGATTTTACAACTCATGTTGTTCCTCCGTCGGCTAGGCAAATGGGACGAAGTAATGTACTGCGATATGTTTTTCACCTTGAGAAATAAACCAGAGTGGCAGAAGGAGTGTGGGGTGAATGTAGCACCCCAAGATCCCCTGGTACTGGCCTTAGAGAAAGATAAGAAAAATTTAAAACCTAAGGAGCGTTGCTGTGATGCCTGTAGTATTGGACAGCAATGCCTTAAATTAACGAGGAGGGATAGCGGAAAAGAAAGCGAAATAAGCTTATGGGAGTATCAGCCGTTCGCGCCAGGATATGGGGTTCCTCTGCCCAAGCGAAGGGAGGGTGAAAGAGACACTAGTCTGTTAGGGGATATGTCACTGGAACAGAGCAGATCCAAGAACGGTTACAGCCCCCAAAGATTAGAAAACAGTTGGGAGGATAGCAGCCCAGCAAGATCGGAAAGTTGTGGGAGAGAAAGCGGATCACAAAAGCTGAGTAGCCCACAAGGCTCAGAATCTTACCGGGAAGAGAGTAGTCCTCTCAGTTCGGAGACTGGGAGGAAAAAGGACAGCTCACCACGACTGGAGCTAGAGGGTCGGGAAAGGAAAAATAGCCCACCTAAAGTGAGAGGTAGCCAAAATAGAGGTTGCAGTACACCAAGAGATGAAAACACCTCACGAAGATCAGACAGCCCGCCAAGTCCAGGCGACCTGCCAGGACCAGGCTGCCTGCCAGGATCAGGGAGCACCAGAAACGGGGGTAGCTTCCCTGAACTAAGATGCAGTGATGATGATGATATAGTTAGCCAGAACAAAAAAGCAGACAACTCACAGAAATTGAGTATAGTCATTCAGATAGAGGATAAAAGAGAGATACAAGGGACAGAGGAGGACAAAGAGGACAGTGTCTCAGAGCGGGTTGAGCGTAGACAGCGTCTCATCCAAACACAGAAGGAGAGGCGGCTGGACTGTGTAAACCATACCAGAGGGTTAATAGAGGATGATTTGGCGGAAGGATCGGAAACTGAGAATGAGGAACAAAAACAGAAAAAGAGAACAGGGAAGAGAAAGAATAAAATAGATCTCGAAACCCAGGAGAAAGATCCTGGGGAAGGGATTAGCAATTCATACTATACTAGATCGGCAGCACGGAAGGAAGCGAAAGAGAGAGATGAAGGTTATATGATAGCTCCCCTCAGAAGGATAATGCCTATTGCAGGAGAACAGGCACGAATAAAAGTACCATTTACAACAAGCGATCTAAATAGCTGGAGAGAAGAGGTAAGAAATTTCAGAAAGAATCCAGAGGGAGTAGCCAGGAGGTTTGAATTACTGGCAAAGAATCAGGATATTGATTGGGAAGACATAGAGGTAATGCTGTCAGAATTAACAGAAACAGAAAAGGAACTCGTGTTAAGAACAGGAAGAGAGCATGCTGCGTTACTACCAGAAAGAGTAGACGTAGTTTTCCCCAATCGAAACCCAGAATGGGATCTGAATAATCCAGTCTAGTATGGGCGGCTGGTGCAATATAGAAAGCTGATAGCAATTGGTCTGCGAAATGCAATACCTAAAGCCATCAACTGGGCAATGCTATATGATGTCAGACAGGGGAAAGATGAAACCCCCTCAGAATTTTTGGACAGACTTAGGACAGCTATGAGACAGTATACACCCCTCGACCCAGCATCGGAGGAAGGGAAGCAACAGTTATTGGGGTTAGTAATGGGACAATGCACCCCAGATATCAGAAAGAAATTGCAAAAGCTTGAGCACCCGGAAAATAGAAACCTAGAAACATTGATGAACGAGGCCTGGAAAGTGTATAACAACAGAGATAAAGAAGAGAAGAAAAAGGAAGATAAAAGGTTTGCTCGAATAGTGGCAGCAGCAGTAGCAGCCCCCAATGTAAAGCCTCCACAATTCAATACCAGAGGCAGAGGTAGAGGTTACCCAGCAAAAGGGAGTGGGAAAAGAGAATCTCAACCCCATCTGCCTGGGATAAAACCAAATCAGTGTGCTAATTGCTGGCAGATAGGACATTGGAGATGAGATTGTCCTCTGCTAGGAGAGAGACCTGCAATCGCTACCATTGCACATCAAAACAGTGAATGAGGGGGACCGGTGAGTCGTTCCCTAGCAGACCCACTGGTTAAAATGGAGCTAGGGAAAGGTGAAAAGAAATTAAACTTTTTAATAGATACAGGAGCAACGTTTTCGGTTCTGAATCAAGAATTGGTACCCAAAAGTGATGAATTTGTACAGGTCGTGGGAGCGACAGGCCAACCAGAAAAAGCCTACTTTCTAAAACCTATTAAATATAAAATTGGGAAACAAATGGGAATTCATCAATTTTTGTATTTACCAAATTCTCCAAAGCCTCTACTAGGTAGAGACCTATTGGAGAATTTAGGGGCTGTAATAAAATTCAATAAAGATAAACTTGAATTTCAAGTGAATGATGAACAACTAATAACAGCTTTAAGTTTAACAATCAGTTATATAGAACCAAAACCTGAAAATCATAGCATTGAACGCATTATGAGTGAAGTATACCCACTAGTATGGGCTACTGATGTACCTGGAAGGTCAAAACGAGCAGCTCCTATTAATATTGAGTTAATACCAGGAACAAAACCGGTAGTAAGAAAACAATACCCGCTGAGGTTGGAAGATAGAAGGGGAATTGAACCAATAATAGAGAAATTTCTAGAACTAGGATTATTGGTAGAGTGTGAATCAGATTTTAATACACCAATCCTACCTGTTAAGAAACCGAATGGGACATATAGATTAGTCCAAGATTTAAGGGCAGTGAACGAAATTACAAAAACTTTACACCCGGTCGTAGCAAATCCCTATACTCTTCTAACCAAATTGAGGGAAAATTTAAAATGGTTCACAGTATTAGACCTAAAAGATGCATTCTTTTGCCTAGCCTTAGCTCTGACAAGCCAGAAAATTTTTGCTTTTGAGTGGGAATCTGCTAAAACGGGGAGAAAGACTCAACTAGCTTGGACTGTGTTACCGCAGGGATATAAAAACAGTCCCACGATTTTTGGAAACCAATTGGCCAAAGAATTAGAACAATGGGAAAGGCCACTGGGAAATGGTACCCTTCTACAATATGTAGATGATTTATTGGTAGCAACTGAAACAGAAGAGGAGTGCATTGAATGGACTATTTCCCTGCTAAACTTTTTGGGCTTAAGTGGATATCGAGTTTCTCTACAAAAGGCACAGCTGGTACAAGAAAAGGTGATATACCTGGGATATGAAATCTCCAGAGGACAACGATCTCTAGGCACAGCAAGAAAAGAAGCCATCTGTCAGATGCCCAGACCAGAAACGGTAAGAGATCTACGGGCCTTTCTGGGAATGACAGGTTGGTGCCGATTATGGATTCATCAATATGGAATACTTGCCAAACCACTATATGACTTACTAAAGGGGACTACGAGTACCTTAACCTGGACTCCCGAGGCAGAAGGAGCTTTTAAAAGACTGAAACAAGAACTCATGAAAGCCCCAGCCTTGGGTCTTCCAGATGTAACTAAGCCGTTTTGGTTATTCTCCCATGAGCGGCAGGGGATGGCTCTGGGAGTTCTAGCACAGCAGTTGGGACCACATAAGAGAGCTGTAGCTTATTTCTCCAAACAATTGGACGAAGTAAGCAAAGGCTGGCCTGGGTGCCTAAAAGCAGTGGCCGCAGTGATTATCAACATAGAAGAGGCCAGAAAGCTTACGCTAGGCCAGAAAATGACTGTGTTAGTCTCTCATACTGTCTCAGCAGTGCTGGAACAAAAGGGTAACCATTGGTTATCGCCTTCAAGATTCCTAAAGTATCAAGCCATCCTAGCTGAATCAGATGATGTAACCATTCAAGTAACTAACATTGTCAACCCAGCTTCATTTCTAGAAGGGAGAATTCCGGCAGAACCTCTCGAACATGATTGCCTGGAAACGATCGAAGCGGTCTATTCCAGTCGTCCAGACCTCAAGGAGGAACCATTTGAAGATGCGGACAACTGGTTCTCGGACGGCAGCAGCTTCGTGAAGCAAGGAGTAAGAATGGCAGGCTATGCAGTGACCACAACAGAAGAGGTAATTGAATCAAATCCCCTACCTGCAGGGACTTCGGCCCAGAAGGCAGAACTGATTGCTCTTACCCGAGCCCTGGAATTAGCAGAAGGTATGCGAATTAACATTTGGACTGATTCTAAATATGCTTTCTCTGTCGTACATGCTCACGGAGCGATTTGGAAAGAAAGGGGACTATTAACTGCCCAGGGGAAAACAATTAAACATGCAGAAGAAATTCTAAGGTTGTTAGAAGCGGTCCAACTCCCAGAGCAGGTGGCCATAATGCATTGTAAGGGACACCTGAAAGGTAACACAGTTCCAGAAATAGGGAATAGGAAGGCAGATGCAGAAGCCAAATTAGCTGCTGCAAAAACTGAAGAAATAACCATAACAGCTTTAATACCGGGAGAATTAGATACAGATTTTCAACCAAATTATCAAGAATCAGATCAAAGATGGATTAAAAAGAACAAGGGTAAATTGTTAGACAACGGGTGGGGACAGTTAGAAACAGGTCAACTAATAATACCTGAAAAATTAATGTGGCAGTTTGTAAAGACAGAACATGAAAAAGCCCATTGGGCCTTAGACCCACTCTATCAATATTTACAAACCCGAATAGCAGGACCAAAACTCTTTACTACAGTAAAATACGTCACATCTCAATGTGAGCGATGCCTAAAGAATAATCCAAATACTGGGACGAAGGTACATCAGGGAGCCATAAATCGAGGTAAATTCCCAGGTGAAGTGTGGCAAATTGATTTTTCAGAACTCCCAAGAAAAGGGGGGTTTCGATATTTATTAGTATTAACTGACACATTTTCTGGGTGGCCTGAAGCATTCCCTTGTAGGACAAATAAAGAAAGAGAAGTAACCAAGGTTTTATTAAACGAAATAATACCCCGATTTGGGGTACCGAGAAGTATATCTTCAGACAGAGGTACGCATTTTTGTGCAAAAGTAGTAAGAGCAATAAGCAAGGCATTACAAATTAAGTGGCAGTTACATACGCCCTACCGGCCTCAGGCTAGTGGGCAAGTCGAAAAGATGAATCACCTGATTAAACAACAAATTGCTAAGATATGCCAGGAAACCAATTTGCAGTGGTATCAAGCTTTGCCTATTGCTCTACTCAGACTGAGAGTCAAACCTAGATCAAAAGAAAAATTGAGTCCATTTGAAATTCTGTATGGAAGACCTTACGCTATGCAGATTGTAAATGGAGATGCTGTAGACCAAATAGGTAATCAGTACATTTATGATTATGTAATCACTATAGGGAAACATTTTGATAAAAGTACAGCTGTGGTGATAGAACATCAACCCAAACAGCCTGATTGTAAATTACACCTGTTCAACCCCGGTGACTGGGTATATGTTAAGAATCTCTTAGGAAAACCCCTACAAGAAAAGTGGGAAGGACCTTTCCAAATTCTGCTGACCACCTTCACCGCGGTCCGGATCAAAGAGCGACCTACATGGATTCATTACTCACGAGTCAAGAAAGCTCCGGAGAACTAGCAAGAGGAAGAAACAAGCGAAACGCCAGCATCTGCAGATAATTGTTTGGGTACCAAGCCCCTGAGTAAAAGTCCTGTGTGAATATGGACACGGCACTACCATTAGTGGGATATTTTTACAGGGCATTCCCCAACAGCAACTCAAGTATTCCACTACCTTGTGCACCCAATACTAATCATAACCATAGCTATGCTTTACTAACACTCACAAACATATACCTATGGAGCAGACTGAAATCCTTAATGACAAAAACCCAAACACTTTAGGCAATGATCCAATCTTACCAACGTCCCTTAGAGATTAAAACTTGACAAAAGAATTCGTAAGTTATAAGAAAAGGGGGGAATGAAGCCACTCACTTAAAACTTTGAAACATAAAAGGTTAACACAAAATTGTAAGAGAAATTTCAAAACCTTAACATTAGGAAACTAGGCAGTCCTTGAGATAGCAACTCAGCGAATCCTAGAGCAGTCCTAGAGAGATAGCTGCATTCCTCACAGAGAAAGCAACTCAGCAAATCGTAGGATGAGCCAAAAGTCAGCCTGACCTTATTGTGTTTGCCAAAACTGCCTTAAAAGGAGAAGATCTAAAGAAAGTTCAGAAGTTTACAGTGAGGAAGACTCACACACGACCCCCGCCCAGAGGAAGGCAACAGGAACTCCCACCGTGAAATCTCCCCAAATTGAAGACTCCGCCCAGACTCCACCTTCATATGAATATTACAATTAGATGTTGCAATTTAATGAATATGCATGATTGTGTTGTAATCCTATACCTCAAAAACTGTATAAAAGAGCTATGCTGATTGTAACACGATCGGAGCTCTTTGCCCAGGGCGACCTGGAGAGCTCCCCAACGCGTTGCAATAAAATACCTCCTGCTTTTAAAGAAACAAAACCTTGTC